TTCTCATGCGATACTACTTTGGGATGGCCGCCTGCGCCTGGTAAGAGTTCTAGGCTATGTAATGATATACAGATACTGAATACCCTGAATATACCCTTTCAAAATGGGTTCTTTGCTGTTTATAAACAATGCAGCTGATGCCTTTGCAAAACTTATATTTAATTCAGCTAAATATTCAAATGGTTTTGATATTCACACATACTTATACTATTTGTATACCTCGACTGATTAATTAAAAAAAAATATTTTAAACGTTTAAGTCAAATTCATTAAATTCCACAATTTGTAAAAGATAGAGCCAAATGTACAAATGTACTATGATAAAACAGTGCCAAAACTGTTTTAAGGGAAGAGATATAGTTATTTAATAGATTTTGATGTGAAACCCTATTAAAATTAGATATATCCTATAACTATTTACATCCCATGAATTCAAATAATTTAATCAAATAAGTAAATATTTTTTTAACTGCAAGGTAGATAGATAGATAGACTTATTTGCTTTCCTTTCCTGTTTAAATATATATATGTACATATGTAGCCACAAACACTAGATTTGTATTTCCTCGTTTTTGGCAATAAATAGCTTATTAAAATGTTCTTTATTTTTTCAGGTGGGCTGTGCTTTGTTTGGGCTGGCACCGCGACATTCGTCGGCACAGTCCAGACTCCAAAGGCCATGTGGCCATTCCCTCGAACTTTGCGGGCAGTCCAGCGAAGAGAAGCAATGCCAAGGCCAATGCCCAGCAGGATCTGACGCAGAACAACTTTGTGTGCTTCGTGGCCTGGGGATTGCCCGCCTTCCAAACGGCCGCTGTGCTCGTGGCCCGTTTTGTGGATGCCGACGAGTTGCTGGGTGAGATTGGCCAAATTGATCCTTTAAATAATCCCATGATAATGCTTATACCAATCCATTTTAGGCGCCTGTTTTGTGGGCAACCAATCGGACAAGGCTCTGCAGATATTGGTGGCCACGCCAGTCTTTTGCTACTGGATCTTTGGCTCTATGAACCTGATATCCGGCTATCTGGTGCACTGTCGCACCAAGGAGATCTTGAGGAACAGCAATGCCCTGAGTTTGCAGCAGCAACTGCAGCAGCTGAGTGCCCACAGTAGTTCCGGAATAGGCATATTCCTTTTTATCTATGGACTGGCATGTGCTCTGCTCCTGCTGGCGGTCATTTACGAGTTTGCCAACATCGATGTTTGGCTGGGATCGGGTGAAACTAATACGCCATTGTGGCCCTTTTTGGTACGCGCCTTTATGGAGTTAATGCTGGGCATATGCTGTTTCGCCTGGGTCCTCGGGCCCAGCATTTCCACTCTCTACAAGAGACAAGTGGGCAATGGGAAGATGGTGAAGCAGCCGTCTGCAACAGGAGGATCTGTCCATCTGGATGGCCACAGCAGCTCGCGAGGATCGCATGCCGCTTGTAACAGCACCGTGGTCTCCTACCATTCGGTGCGGCCATCAATGGCCAGTGCTCCCCTACCGCCGAGTCCCTACAAATTGAAAACATCACCGGGTGCCGGATCCATATCGCTGAATCAAATGTCCAACTATTCGCTGGGCAGGAGCACGCATCACCATCATCAACAGCAGCAGCAGCAGCAGCGCCACTCGTCGCATCATCATCACCAGCAGCAGCAGCAGCACCATCACCACCATCATCACTCCTCATCCTCGCATCGCCTGTATTATCCACCGGGTAGCTATGCCTCCCAAAAGTACAGCCAGCATGGCAGCTACTATCCCCATTTGCAGCACTATGGCGATGAGACACTGCTCTAGGCGGGATTAATCACAATACCAGGGGAGGAGTAGGAGTCCCCTGCTACCAGTCAATGTTCCTGCGGCAGCTGATGTGCCAAAGTCAGTCTTGTACTATAACATAAAGTGACGGGTGGGTTTTGCTAGCTATAAAACGGACTTAGGTTTATGGTGTCTTAACTGCATGCCACACAAAATTCCAATTTAAGTTGCTCTGCCCCGTAGAACACAATGAAATACTATCTATGTACTGTGTATATAACCCAGGAAATGTCCTCGTATTTAGTTTAGGCCTTTAACGAAAGGTCATAGATGACCTATCTAGCCAACCCCCCCACAACGTATTGTAATTGCCCTAGATGGGCCACATCCTATTTTCGTGTGTACTTAATGTTGCTCCTAATTAGTTGCCCCTTGCGTTGCCTTTTTTGCCGTTTTGGTGTAACCAAATCCAATAATCACTCTTGCCTTTTAGACATTTAGACTAATGTCGCCTGTGCGTACATATATAGCATTTTTTTTTATACTATTTCTTTTTTGTTTTTGAGAGAAACACGCAGCAACCAAATACTGTGATACGCATGTTCATGTCTTCGAAACCAGGGGCCAACAACCTGGTTCCCATTTTGCTGTCTTCTTCACCTGATCCCGAAACAAGTGTACTTAACAAATGAAAAACAAACGCAATTGCAATCCTAGCCGTAATGCCTAATTGTATTCAGTGTGCCATTAGCTTTAGGGACTAAACTGAGCAAGTCAAAAAAACAAAAGCGCCTTGAGAAATCCGTTTTTTCGAAAAATATTTATGGGATTGAAATTGTATAATATTCCTTGATTTTTTTAATCTTATTATTTTAAAGGAAATCGCTATTTTAAGGGGTTTTCTGTCGTATTTAAATACTTTTAATACGCAAGTCAAAATAAAAACTTATTTGAACAATTTCAAAACCATACATTTTTTTAAAAACGGAAACAAGAACAAGGATTCATTTTTAGCTGTCCAACTAAAACTTTTTACAACTATGGACCATACGAATCGTATAGATCCTAACTAACAGTATATGTATTTTTTATGTGTATTTTTTATTATTATATGTAGCGAATTATTATTTGCTAGCGAATAAAGTGTCGAAAAGTTAAGATCTGTTTTGATTTCAATTGATTTGATTTGATTTGATTTGATTCGTTTCTTGTGTTTGGTTTACCAAGTAAAATAGAGTCTCCAAGTGTCGCCGTTACTCCATGAGCATTTTTCCGTCTTCGGGGCAAGAAAACTCACCCCACCCGTCGGGTTGGGTGTATTTTAGCCTATTGTCGAGTGGGTGGCAAGGTCGCCTCACTGCGTGTTGGTCCGCACAAAACGATGGTCTCATTCCGGTTATTATTGTTGTTATTATTGGCCGAGGCCTGCGGTTGCCAATTGTCAAGGTCCTCGTCGCCGTTCTCCTTGGTCCTATGGTAGTTCTCCATTTCGCTGGCATACTTACTGCTGGTGATTCCCAGCAGGTGTGCCAGCCCACCGCCCACGTAGTCGATTCCGGCCAGGAATCGGTTGCCCATCCGACTGGCCTTGTACCGGAGGCGTGGTCCCAACGCCATTTCGCTCTGAAAAAGAGGTTAAGTGAGTCACGATGATGGTCAGTGGGTGGGTGCTATATGTAAGCAGCGTCTTATCTTTAATTCCCAGTGCCCTACTTGTTTACTTAGAATGCTCAAAGTCATATTTATTCATTGATATGCATTTTAATCATATTTATTAATATTATGCTGGTATCCGGCAAAGTACGCTATTGTCAATATAAAACCTAAAATGTATTGAATATATATTTAACATTATCATGCTGTATATTCAAAATGAAAATAGTATAAAGCCTTTAACATTTATACCAAGATATTATTTCATAAGAATATTATAGGTATTACTTTTTTTTCCTATTTAATTCGAGTGTTTATAGTTCACAAAGGTTTACTTTTAAGTTAAGATATGAATTATATATCCAAACACTTTTTTAAATAATTATTATTAACTATAAATACATACATACAAATTGCTCATTTTCTAGGGATAAAAAAAATGCCTACGCAAATTCATGAGCTTTGTAAGGAATACTTCACCTTAAAAAACAATCCTTAGCTTGTACGAACCATATTTTAACTCAGATAGTTTTCAGACTACTCCCTTTCCACAGCATTTAGGGGTTTCTAACGCCAATTACCGGATAACGTACCTCGTTCAAATGGACGTCGTAGCACTTGTCAGCTAATTCCCCATCCGCTTCGTCCTCGCTGGAAGATAACTCCTCCATAACTCCATCACTGAAGTACAGGATGCGTTTGTTGGACTGTAGTTCAAGGGCGGTCACATTGTCCGTTTCGGATGCACTTGCTCCAGAACCAGATCCTCTTGCTTCTCCTCCTCCTCTGCTTTTGGTTATTCCAATGCTGTCCCCCGACATGGTGTGTCTATATTTTCAGCCGATTAAGTACCGCTTCGATTGATTGACGCTGACCGAATGTTTTGCGGTTTGAATTTCGTTTGAATCGCAGCCGCCGTTTTGGTCATGAAAAAACGGGTGCGGGTCGCCAAATACGAATACGGTGGGCTTTTGGAGGCCGAAATGTCCTTGGGTTGGGGGCCACCGGCGACTCACAAGCGGTGAGAATCGCGTGCCATTTGGCGATTCGTTCGGCCAGGTGCAAATCAAATCAATAAACCAAAAGCAAAAGCCGCTTCCACTCACAACAACAACAGCAAACACTAAACAAAACAAAGGTGCGGCAGTGTGACCAAATACTGACTAGGGGTTAAATACCTAAGAATGGTAAGTGCAAGTTCTTAAACGATAGTATCGGTAGTAAATATTATATAAACATCTATAGCCCAAATTACGTTACTATGCAATGGTATCGTTACTTATATTTTTGTTTTATTAAAAACAAAAGATAAATTCTTAAATTAATTTAATTAGTTTTCCTCATATTATATTATTTATATTTCATTTTTTAAAGCAAGTTGTTAACTGATAACCGCTTACGGATAAAATTGATTGCTTAGAATATTAGAATAACCAATTTTTCTAAAACTAACTCTACTTGTTGAGTAAGTTGTTTCTGAGAACTAACAAATTAATTTAAAATAAATAACAATAATCATATATATAGACTTTTTCCTACAACTATCGCCTGCGCATGCGATATATCGACGGTAATTGCTCTGGTCACACCGAACAGCTGTTTACGGCTTTCCCATTTGCGTCGTTTACAACAAATTACAAATCTTCCAACTCGCGGGAATCCGAGATTGCGCCCAATTATGGAGTCGCCCACCTCGCACCTGGTGGCCAAAGGTGAGTCCGAAAAAGTGCTACTCCCAAGCAGGATCGAGGTCACCAATGTGTGCTTAGATTTCCAGGTGACTGGCGTTTCGCGCAGTGGACGCGTACGCAAAAAGTCGTCGAAACTGTTAGATTTTGAATCGCCAGAGGAGATTGAGAAGCGAACAAGGCGCCAAAGTGGCGGAAGGCAACCGTCCAAGTATTCGGGGCGTGGCAGGCCATCGAATGCTCTGCGAGATCTGGAACTCGACCAGGAGATGCTCTTCGATGAGCCCAATATGTCGGAAGGCGAGGAATTCCATCCGGAAACGCCAACAGCCGTGCCCATTCTGAACTCGGACGATGAACTGGACAACCTGGTGCAGGATCTCGTCGATGGCGTCCAAGCGGAGGCCACCAGCCAGGAGTCGCCCGTCCGCCAGAGTCTCTACATGCGCGAGAAAGCCAACAAGAGGAAGGTCTTCAAGGACGGCAAGGTGGTCAACGCGAAGGTGCAGCGCAAGGACAAGGGCAAGCAGCGGTACACCGCCTACAGCCTGTGGGCCAGGGAGGCGCGGAAAAAAGACCTTCCGGATATGGGTAGGTTTGGGATATAGACTCACCAGACATGGTGCTATTTTCATGGGTTTCACCCATGGCACTCACCCTAAAAAACATTATAAATGACAATTTTCGTTAATAATTTCCAATTATTCAGCGAATTCTTTAAGTCCTCTTAGTCGTTTACTTGCTTATTCATTTTTTTTTTTAATTTTTTTTAAACTAAAATACTACAAAGCGAATTGTTCAGTAAGTTAATGTAACTTCGAGTTGTTCAGCTTCTCATCATCGTCTATTTGATTTTATACAAACGTTCCTATAAGAAAAACATTATGATAAACAATCCACAAATGTTTTACCAAGTTAGTTTTTAATTATTTATGCACATCTGGTGTATAAGCTTCCCAAAAAAATGCATACAATATTATTATACAGTTTCAATTTTTAAAGGTGCAGATTAAAAACTTCCTAAAACATGAATTATCAATAACCTTCACTTCTAAAACATCCTGGCCAAGCTAGTATTTAGAATAAATTTCCAATTGGTTTGTTTTACCTTCTAAGCAACTTTTGAATGACATTCAAACTGAGAAAATATTCTTTTACAAATATCTATATGCTAGATGAGATCTATTTGTTATTAACAATTTGAAATCTATTTCAGACTACACCAGTGCCACCAGACGTCTCAGCGAACTGTGGGCGAATGTGTCCAATCGGGACAAGAACGCCTGGCGGCGCAAGGCGAAGATCCAAGCGTCCAGGGCGAGATCGCGCGACAGATCCGGAGCAAATGGCACGCCCCAGACGACGAGCAATGGCAGCACAGCATTGGCTTCGGATCCCCCGCAGCACGAGACGATCTTTCAGAATCGGGCGACAACGAGTCGCACTCGCAAATTGGCCGCCGATCGGCAGCAATCCTCTCTAGAAGCGGCGGCTGCGGCAGCGGCGGCGACCAGCTCATCCACCCCAAGACGCAGCATTAACACGCGAAGTGGCAGGTCACAGGCATCCACGAGTGCGGCGAGACAACAATCGCCGGCGGAGACGGATGTGGGCAGCCGGACAGGGACTCACCAGAAGCAAGAGGAGCCCCACAAAACCAGCATCGAGGTGATCGATGCGGCGGCACACCTGAAACTCTTGGGCGAAAGTCTCACGGTGATTGGCGAGCGTCTTAAGAAACACAATGGACATGTGGCTCTATCGGGAAGCTTGTCCGTGCTGCTCGACAGTTTGCTCTGCGCCATGGGGCCATTGCTCTGTATGACCACGCAGATACCGGGATTGGAGAACAAAGTTCAGCTTAGCAAAAACCTAGCCGACACCCTAGATAATATCGCCTACGTAATGCCGGGATTGTAAAGAGGTTTTCGGTACATCACTTTAACACTATATATAAATATGTGTATAACTTTACCAGGCAGCTGAGCTTCCAAAGTGGGGCTAGAAACGCCATCGGAACCAAGTGCTCCCTGATTTCACGGTATGCACCTATTTCGAGCGCATTATCTATATGTAAATTAAGCACTAGCCGCTAGCCATCAAGCTGAAAACAATTTATTTATAAATTATCCTTAGTCTTAAGCCACAGCATCTCGATTTTAAATAAGTAAAACTATCTATGCCGGATCTGAAGGTCTCCCTCTTAATAAGTTGTTTTCTTCTGTTGGCTTGTCATATGAAAAACTAAAAAATTGAATGAGAAAAACAATATCTAACGTATTTTTTTTCTCTAAATATATGTACATATGAAAAGTTTATTGCTGATTGGTGGGTTCATTTCTTATTGATTCTTCACCGAAAATCGAACATACCTATTTACTAGGGTTGTTTTCGGACTATTAATAACTACCCCAATGAAATCTATGTTCTAATCTTTAATCTCTAGTTTTTTCAAATAAATGGATCGATAGATAGAGTGGAAAACCACAAAATCAGTCCCAATTCAACTCAACTATCGCTATAAAAAATTCTTGAACAATTTAATTTTCATATGGACACTATAAGTGTATAAACATAAAAACATTAACACCTTATAAGCTGAATGAAATTCTGAATTTAAGATTGAAACTTAAAACGATTTTTAAATGTCCCTTGGTTTTAAATGACTTTCGAACATTTTTAATAGTTTCCATTAAATTCGACAGTTATAACTATGGCCATTAATTTATAAAACAAATTGTTTGAATTCAAGAATAGCAATTAATTTCTTTAGAAAGTGTTTAGTTGGCCCGAGAACAAATTGTTAAATTCTTTTTAATATCTTGACTACAGCGAAATAACTTTAGATCAAATAAAAACTCGTACTCTTTAAAAATCAAAAATGTTTATATTCACTGCGAAAATAAAACATGACTTAAATATATAACTATAAAACAGCACTTATATGAAAATATTTCAGGGTTACGAAAAGCCAAACTATTTAGAGTAATTTGAACACTGCTTAAAAAACCAATGCTGAAATGATTTTTGAATATATGAACTATCGAAATCGATAGATATCGGCACGGTATCGAAGCGAGCGACTGCCATCGCTAGTTTGGGCTCCCACAAAATTGCTTTTCGCACCAAAAACCGCCCCAAATTGTGTACAATTTCCACAGAACTGGGATTAGTGGGACGGATCCCCTCGAGAAATTGCCATGTTGAGACCCCAGCCATCGATGCCCTTGCCACAGCCGCCGGGAAAGCGAAAGAAGCCCGCGGAATTGCAATTAACCTGCGAATGGCGCGGTTGCCAGGAGATTTGCACGGGCGAATGGAACCTCAATAGTCACATAGCCGAGCATCTGGAGCAGTATGCCCGGGAGCAGGATAGTCGGGAGGATGGCGACCACAAGGAGCACCAGTGCACATGGAGCACCTGCGACTTCATCACTTCCAATCTAGTGGAATTCGAACGGCACTCGTATTACCACGGCTACTACCTGCACCTCCTGCTGCAGGGCAAACTGGAGTGCGATCTGCATCCGGAAATCCCCACCTGCACTGCTCCACCGCGCCTGATGGACAAGCTGCCTGTCCTTGGCCAGAATTTCCGCTGTGGATGGACGGATTGCGAACGGGAGTTCGTTTCCATCGTCGAGTTCCAAGATCACATTGTCAAGCACGCCCTCTTCGAGTACGACATCCAAAAGACGCCGGAGGACGAGCGGCCCAAGACCATGTGCAACTGGACCATGTGCCACAAGCACATGGGCAACAAGTATCGCCTCATCGAGCACATAAGCACCCACTCGAACAAGAAGCAGGTGGCCTGCTTCCACTGCGGGGAACTGTTCCGCACCAAGACCACCCTCTTCGATCACCTGAGACGCCAGCCCGAGAACAACAGTGAGTACTCCTATGTGTTCCTGGATTGACATGGTCATTTGATCATTTTGCTGCTCAAGTTCCATTCACTTAGGCAGTGGTCCTCCTTTTTTAAGACCTGGAAACCATTGCTTTGCCAGAGTTCCATTCGTGTAGGCTTCCAGTTTCATGATATATCCGACAAAACTTCCTGATTGTTTGATTTATTTAGGGCCCCCAATAATTACTAAATCCCTAACTCTTTTTTTAGCCAGTTAATTTTATCCAAAATAACTTGGATAATGCTGTTAATTTTTCCTTCTTTCAAACACTTATAAATCCTTTTTCTGATAGTTTTCCTTTTGTTTAAGCTGCCTAATGCAATTAAAATTATTTTTCTGGCATATCAAGTTATAATTTGTATATTTAAAAAAATTCTATTAGGATGTCATTCTTTTATTTATTAAAAAATTGTTTGGATCTGCTATAAGTCACAGATTAAGTGCAATTAAGTATAGGTATATATAAAACATAGTATACCATCTTGCAAACATTGATTTTTTCAAGCTATAGATAATTGTAACTATGCAATCTTAAATTAAACCACAATAGTGAAGTGACCATTTCATAGGGGTGAATTATTCGTTTAGTTCCTTAATGATTGTTGCAAACAGCCCTTATTAATATACATATATCAAATATTGTCTGAAATTTGTGTATTAATAATTATGAGGTGCAACCCCTATCTTAAAATACACATTTCTTTGTCCAAGTAGCTGAAACTATTTTACTTAGTATTATATTTATTTAACGAATTAAAATCTGTGAATTTCCGTCTGCAGCGAACAGCTTTCAGTGCGCGCAGTGCTTCAAGTTCTTTGCCACCAAGAAGCTGCTGAAGAGCCACGTGGTGCGGCATGTGAACTGCTACAAGTGCACCATGTGCGACATGACCTGCAGCTCGGCCAGCTCGCTGACCACCCACATCCGTTACCGCCACCTCAAGGACAAGCCACTAAAGTGCAGCGAATGCGACACGCGCTGCGTCCGGGAATCGGACCTGGCCAAGCACGTCCAGATCGTCCACTCGAAGACGGTGCACCAGTGCGAGCATCCCGACTGCCACTACTCCGTGCGCACCTACACGCAGATGCGAAGGGTGAGTCACACTGACCAACTGAACGCCTTGATCCCCTACGGCTATTTGTAAGCGATGGAGGGGCTGCGAAAGTCAGCATAGAATTAGAACTATTAGCCTGGACCGTCTATTAAAACCACTAAGAAAATAGAGGCTTCATATGACATATAAATGTGTATTATAATGTATGACATTCCACATAAAGTGATTTTAGGAATGTAATTTGATTTAATTAATCAGACTATCAAAACCACAACAAAATATTCATATATGTAAATGTTTGTACTATACCTACATATTATATGACTTTTATGAATCAATTGTTTTAAATAAGATTCCAGATTCATATACAATATATGAAATTAATATTTCCAGTTTTATATTAAATAAAAAGGAAAACAAATCTTACTTAGCTGAACAAAATAATCATGTATGCTTTTAAAAAATCGCTAAAAAAAATCATCATTAAAAAATATGTACAAATTCATTTGAACAGTAGAAGGATTTTATCTAGCTTATTATGTTATTTAAAGTAAAAACGAATATAACTATTTCAGTTGTGTATTTTGATAGTTTAAGTTTTATTTAGTATAGTATAAACAAACGCCACTTAAACCCCGGATTTCCTTACAGCATTTCCTAGAGGTTCACGGCAATAATCCCATCCTCTACGCCTGCCACTGCTGCGAGCGCTTCTTCAAAAGCGGCAAATCCCTGTCCGCTCACCTGATCAAAAAGCACGGCTTCCGGCTGCCATCGGGACACAAAAGATTCACCTACCGGGTGGACGAGAACGGATTCTATCGCCTGGAGACGACGCGTATCGAAAGCTTGGAGGTTACGCAGCAGATACTGTCGCCGCAGGTGAATGTCTCGCTGGAGATCGATCTGAAACCGGGCACGGGAACCTGTTACGAGATCGTGGATCCCACAAACACCGAATTCGAGCGCATCATCGTCTCGAATGATCCGCACGAAGCGCAGCTGATGGGCGAAGTGATCATCTCGCTGCCTAGCTTAACGGAGGAGCTGTGAGGAATGGAGGTGAACGGAACCAACGGCAGCTAGCAGCCAATACTTCTGATCTCGTGTGCCCACTTACGATTAAGCACTAGCAGTAAGACTTAAGTAGAAAGTAGAAAAATGCGGCGACATGTCATAACGCCCTTGGGCATAATGTCCATGACAAGATCAATCATAGTATCTAAGGTCAAGGGGTAACACCACTTTAAGAAATACGGAAACTTGATCACCCCAATGTATTAAACTTTAGGTTCATAATTGCATCTATTAGTTACCGACTTTTTATAGAAAGTTAGTTTTATATTTTGTTTTTAGTCATTTTGTTATGCTTTGTTCGTCTGATTTACAAATTACCTACAAATTTTACATTTCAAGCTGTTTGTTTTAAGGTTAATGATAGTACTTTTTTTTTTTAAATTTCTGAAAAAATGCAGTTTGTTTTCAAAGCCTTAGATTGGTGTTTCCCCTTAACTCAAAACTTCCATGGACCTTATTCACAATATCTATTAGGTCATAAGGCCCTAAATCCTTATCGACCAGAACATTGTAGTTGTGTTCTATAACATTTAAAGGCAATGCAATTTACATACGAATGTAAACGCCATAAACATTTCCGATGTTTAAGGATGCTACAATCAAGCCTTACGTGGGTTAGTAAAAATATTTACAAATTAAAATTAAAAAACGACTTATATCAAAGGTGGGCGCTATGTCGTCACTGCGAAATGCATTGATTCTGTACAATCATATCCCAAAACCATTGTTTTAGATTCTATGTGCGTGCCTGCGCCTGTGTGTGAAATGTTTGTGAGTGGTTTTCATTATCCATCCTGGGATCGAGATCCATTTGTCATTTAGTCCTAAGCGATTTGACAGTTTCCAGTAGCAACTTTATTGTTTAAGATGTGTAGCAAATAAAAAACAAATCAAACCCTAAAGAAAGTTGTGTGTTGTCTTTAAATTTTACATTTTGAGCAAATGAAACTCGTGGAGAGTCAAAAATATAAAGAGAAATGCATTATTTCTATAGTCATTTAGAATTAGCGGTAAGGTTATTAGTTTTCCTAATGGAAGCTCTTTTATGAAAATTAGTTTACAATTTTAAATTAAACTATAATTTGATTGTGTTTATAAGGTAAAGTTTAGCATCATTTAAATTGTTAGAATCTTGAATCGCAATATACATTGAATCTCTAATCGCGATATTGAAAATTCAAAAAGTAGTTGTTATTAAGGTTTCTTTATTTAAAATACCTTAATTTTTTTCTGCTTTCTAATCGGAGAGATATTGCTTCTTATTTTGCCTGTTTGAGGAAAACTTATGAAGGTCCAAAAGGGAAACTAAGAACAGCGAACCAATGTATTGTAATCAGTTTGGGTTATTAAAAATATATTTAGTCTTAATCAGGGGCATAATTATACATCATGCATTGCTGAAGAATACGGGTAACAAAACTAGAAAACTTTATATAGTTTAGTTTGGAATAAAAATTAAGTTTCCAATAAGATGTAAATTATTTCACCACGCTTTGACAGTCACAAAGAGACGCGGGAGCACTTACATCTAGAACAGGGATTCCCGATAGGTGTCTCCCTTTTCTAAGGTAGGTGATACTTCTTTTCACTCTAGATCTTTGTGTCTAGATTCATTTTTACCCACCCTGAGGGTAAGTTAAGCTCTAAGCTCTATTTGCACTTTTTCTTAGGCTATATTTCCACTACTTTTCGGTCATTTGTGAGGTTAGCTTCCTCTGCACTCGAAAAAAATAAACACATGGTGGTGAGTACGATTTTTAAAAGATTTTTTGTTGTTTAATTCTGGGATGCTTAGACTCGCTCTCAAGTAACTTCGACATATAAGGTATAACTATATGTTCGCACCGGAAAAAAAATGAAAACACTTTCGCGTTCGAAATCCTTCTCCGATGCCGGATTCCTCATCAGATTCGATCCGTTTACTTGGCGTGGGTCTGGGCCTTCCTCAGCTGGGTGAGGATGTTGGACAGCTCCTCACGCTTCCTCTTGGCACGGATGTGGGTGCCCAGGCGGCGCTTGAGGAACTTCAGGGCCCTCTTGTCCTTGGACACCTTCAGCAACTCCATGGTGCGCTTCTCGTAGGGAGCATGGCCCACCACTTCGCGCACCAGATCGCGCATGAACTTGGTGTGACGGGTTTGGATCTACAGTTGGATGAAAGATAGTTGGGTGTTACACTAACCATGTAAACAAAGGCCGGGATAAACAAAGTGTTCCGCCGGACAAAACTTACGTTCTTCAAGCGAGATCCACGCAGACCCTTGACCTTCTTGTCGCCGGTATACTTGACATTCCTGATCTTGGTGGTCTTGTGGCCCTTGTTGAGACCAATTGCCAGCTCGTAGCGCACAGCCATCTTCACTGTGGGAAAATTGATATTTATTGAAATGTTTTTTAAATTTGCTTTGCTCTCTTGTTTTATGCGCTAAATGCAAACGTTTGGTTTTCTTAGCCTCTTTGGCTTTTCATTTAACTGTGTGGCACACACTCAACACATAAAACAAAAAGATGCTCGGAAATTTCACGGAATAACACACACACCTCAGTTGCTGTTAAAAAGTGGAAAGAGCGAAAAAAAATTGCGACGGAAACAATATGGCAGCTGGAGATGGACGTTTCACGCGATAGTATCGATAGAGTATAGCGGACTTGCCAGATGGCGCATGGAAAACTCAGCGAACTAAGAAATTATGTATAGGATTGAACGCTTTTAAAAGAAATTCCTTAAATTTGCCCTTATATCCATATACTTTGCTTATCCATATTTTTAAACATCCATATATTATTATATTGAAGACCGAAGGTAAAATACTGCTCTCTAAAATTGATTTATTTATGCCATGTAGGGTTTTAAATTCTTACCAACCATATTTAAGAAGATGTCATCTGACGAACTATGTTTTTATAACAATCTGCAAACGAGCATGCAATTAACCCGCAGTAAAAGAACAATGGGTGATTTCCTTTCAGAATATTTTCTTAATCATTTTTAGTTAATAATGAAAATGGCAATAAGTAAATAAATTTCTAATTTTGGAATTTTTATATACAATTTGATTTAAATATCACTGAAAAGAAGCTTATGTAGCTGAAATAAAATGTTTTTATACTTTGAATCAATTAATACTATTTATAAAACAGTTAACAGCTTAACAAGTTGCATTCAAAATAGTGAAAATTGGAGTTTAGTGAGTGAGAAAGGATACCCTCTTATTAAACTGATAAAGATGGTTAGCACAAAAAAAAAATACAAAATGAACCTATCCCCATTTTTAACGTTAACCCCACAAAATGTTTTGAAAAATTAAAATATGCTGTTTGCTGCTATAAGAATTTTCATGAAAATGTTTTCCTCTCTGATACTAAATATTTTTTAAAGTTTTTTATAGTTGACCAGAGAAAAATAACAATTTTTTTTTCAGCAATTCAATAAAATTTGCAGCAACCCTTGTATTGCTGAACTGCTGAAATTTCAGCCAGTTGAATTTGTATGGAAATTTCATTCGTTTGGGGAATACTAATTTATCAAAACGATGGGTTACACATTTACCAACACTTTTCCATCAGTCATGGGGCAACGCTGCTCCAGCAGCTGCCACTTTCCTATTAATCGATAGCTATCGATTCGCGGTATCAACCCTGCCCGTGCATGTGTTGCCATTCGATCCGATGACCAACTCCGCACACGTTTTACGGCTTTGTGCAAACAATTCTGGTGCAATCTAGACAAGAAGTGTTTCTGGAGTACACGGCGCGTTTAATTGAGCAATTTGGGTATCGCGTATTGAAACTTTGCAGACAGGCTGCAGCTCCGATTGCCGAATTCGAATAGGGATGGCAACTCTGCCACACGCCGGCCATGTTATTGTGATTTGTAAAAGGTGGAACGTAGACACGTGTTTAATTCGTGCAGCTCTCTAACGTTTGAGAAAGCCGAGAAAATCGCCAGTAAATAACGCAATAGACTACCTAAGCACGCGAGTGACATTACATATAATCAAAAACACCCACTAATAGTGTGCAAAATAAGTTATCCAAGCGGTTGCAAGAGGTAAGAAATTGAAGCACGCGGAACATAACCTAGTACAAATAGTGCGTTGTGTGTGAATTTGCCAAAACAGTGAGATGGAAAATGGTGTCATGTGGGGAATTCTACGGTTTTGTTCCACTGCTTTTGTCTAGAGGAATATTTGTAGTCCCTTCTCTCCTTTTCTCCTTCTTTCCGTCTTATTTTTTTTAGTTTTGTTTTAGTGTACTGGTCTGTCTTTGTTGTTGTTGCTCCGGCAAAGTGACAGTGGGTGGCAAAGGGAAAAATTTGGAGTTCAAATCAACGATTACACAATGCCATTTCACACACACACACGCAAAGAACAGAGCACATTAGTATACTTGTGTTCCTTAACAGCTTTCACTGTTAATTTTCGACATTTTTTTTTGTTAGAAAGAGAGCCAAAAAGGAGCAGCCACTCCCACAATATATATGTATCAGACATATATCCCCAATTATACAATCTCCGCCCATTTTCAGCCACCATATGATCGGAAACCACGTTGCCAAGATTAAAAAATGTGGACTTTTTCGGCTGGCTGGCAATTGTTGTTGCACCTGGCTTGTTGTTGTTTTGATGCCCTCTTTTGGTCGCTCTCTTTCGCTCTTTTGGAGTTTAAATGGGAATATCAATTTTTGGCTGTTGCTTCATATCCCCTTCTTCTTTCGGCCACATGGAAATTCGAGTTTCGAAAAACAACAATGCAAGTTCAAAGTCACATCTAACCGAAACGCACAAAAACATGCCTAAACATGTTTGTTTGTCTGCCAAGACACGCACGCACACACATTAATATGCATGTGTAAACAAGCTTACAGTTTCAAAAAAGTAAACACGAGGAAATTTAAAGTTTGAATACTCTACCATTTAAAAACAACGGTTCAAACCTACATACAGTGGCTCACAGCTTATTTCAACCAGCAACCAAAAAAAACTTATACAGCCTATAAAAACTAAACCAAACAAGATATGAACAAAATTTAAATGCACGATCTTTTTGTAATGGTTATATTTATTAGTTTGTAACTTCATATAATTTTCATAATTTTGTAAATATTTTTAATTTAATTAAGAACAAAAAATCAACAAAAAAAAGGCCACAGCTTATTTCAACCAGTTAGCTAGATTAATTTATATGTAATGATTATAGCTATTTAATAATTTTTAGTATTTTGTATGCCCTCCTTTGTTGTCAATGACCATTTTTAAACGTTTTGGAATTGAATCGACCAACTTTTGGGTGCCTTCTGGCCCGATTTTGGACCATTCCTCAACCAATGCCGTTTTTAGGTCCGATTTGTTCCAAATTTTCCGTTTACGGATGTTTGCATCTAAAATAGCCCACAAATTTTCGATAACGTTCATGTCAGGTGACTGTGCCGGCGGTTGCTCAACATGCGGACAATTCCAAACCAGTCAGGTTTGTACAATTCCCGACTTGTGTTTCGGGTCATTATCTTGGTAAAACCGAAAATCTTCACGAATTCCCAGCTTTTCCGCGCTATCGTGCAAATTGGACCTCAAAATATCAAGGTAATGATGTTTATCCATTGTAGTATCAATGAACGCCAAGTTTCCAACTCCTGACGCCGCCATACAGGCCCAAACCATAACACTTCCTCCGCCGTGCTTTACTGTGGCTTTTAAATTTTTTGTTTGCAGCTCTGTATTAGGCTTACGCCACACATAGGTGGCTCCATCTGAGCCAAAAATGTTGAACTTCGACTCGTCAGCAAATATAACGGTGTTCCAAAAAGCAGAATCCTTTCCCAAGTGCTCCTTAGCAAATTTTAATCGGGCATTGATGTTCTTAGCGCTAATGAACGGCTTCTTCCGAGCTATTCTCCCATTATACCCATGGTTTCGGAGCACTCGACGAATTGTTTCTGGGTGGCAACTCTTTCCTAACTCTGCTTCTATTTCAGTGGCAATTTTCGGAGATGATATTTTTGGATTTTCCCGAATTTTCCGGACAATAAAGCGTTCGTCCATCTGATTGAAAATTTTATTTGGAGCATTTCTTGGCTTATCGTGCGTTCTATTCTCGTGTACAAAGCGGTAGATGATGCTCTGGATTGTCCCATCACTCAGCCCAACCATTTCAGCAATATTCCTGCGCGAATGTCCGTTTTTAAAATGTTTTAGAACAAGTTCTCGCTGATCCAAAGTCGTACGCGGCCCCATTTTGGCAAATTAATTATGACTGAGTGATCTTCTTACTAATTTCACGTGACTAAACTTAAACGAACTTCGAATATAAATACCAAAGCATAGAAAAAAAAAGAACCGTTATATTAAAAAGGAACGGCGATTTACACAGCAGCAAAGTAGGTGGTTGAAATAAGCTGTGGCCTTTTTTTTGTTGATTTTTTGTTCTTAATTAAATTAAAAATATTTACAAAATTATGAAAATTATATGAAGTTACAAACTAATAAATATAACCATTACAAAAAGATCGTGCATTTAAATTTTGTTCATATCTTGTTTGGTTTAGTTTTTATAGGCTGTAGAAGTTTTTTTTGGTTGCTGGTTGAAATAAGCTGTGAGCCACTGTACATATGTGTATAAAAACAATTAAAAATCAAAAACGAAATGTTGGTTACTTGTTTGGTTCTATTTAACGAAGTCTATTGAATAATAATTTTGGGTCTTATAATTCTTATAAACAACTTTTCAGCAATATGCTGTAGTGACTGATTTGATTATTTATCCCTTAAGTACGAATTTAATTTCAAATGCATTTCTTAAAAAACACAAAACTTATGCAATTTTGTTCTGATAATTAATTAATCAATATTACATGTTTACTTCCATATGTATTAATGTACATAAGTATAAATATGTTATATAAATTAATAAAATAAAGTGTAACATCAATTTAACCCAGTTGCAAACTTTTAACCAAAATTAATACACTCTACCAAGGTATGGTTTATGTAGTATATCAATTTCTGAAAAAACTCTCGTCACCCGGTTTTTTTTTATTAGGAAGTGCCACAGCTGTCTGGCCGATTGCCCTTCAATGGGCATTTTATATATTTTATATCACCACATTAAAGCCCCTTCCCCTCTTGCGCCCCACACAAACCCCCTTTTGCCACCCGCCGATCTGTCGCTGTTTGTTGTTTGGCGATTGGGCTTATCAATTTGTCCACTGTGCCGAGGACCTTTGGGCCCTAACGAAGTGACGAAATCAATGGAGGGGAATCTCAGTACTGTGGAACGAAACAAATTTTATGTAATTTAAATTTAATTTAATTATTCGTGTTTTAAAAGATATTGATTCAAAAAATTTAATACTATTCTTAAAAATTAAGATTTGTGACTATTAAGAAGGATTAACAAACTTTTATTTAATTGAAAAATAATTTGAAAGTTAAATGTTAACAAAAAATAAATATGCTATCATAATTCAAGTTTCTCCAGGAAAAATTCAAAAAAATTATATAGAATACAATCACTTTTTTTTATGACTAGCTTGTTTTAGGCCCACTGTTCAGAAATATTGACAAAATTTGAATGTGCATTTGCGACGCATTTGAATGGATTACAAATAACGGATTTTGGATTTCTTTGTTTTAATGAGCTCTCTTTTTCTCTCTATCTCTCTCCTCCCACTGGGAGGCTCATACATATGTGTGTAGGTGGAAAGGGGCGCTAAAAAAAACTTTTGCCACCACGCATACCCTCTTTTTTGCGGGGGGAGAGAGGGCTAAGATGAGGAAGAAAAGCGGATGGAGCGAAGAGCTGAGAATCTCAGCCGAAAAAAAATTAAAAAAAAAAAAAGAACAGAACAAATGGCAATTAGAAGGCGGGCAATGTAGTTTCCCTTCTTATATCGAGCAGTCGATATCTCGAATCTCTCGAACAATTTCGCCGGCATTTCGAAACCGAAACAAAAACCCGAAAAAAAAGAAAAAAAAAAACAAACAAAAACAAAAGCACCACACAGACTCCAAAAAAACCCGCAACGAATTGATGCCATATAACGACAAAAAATACAAACGAAAATCGGAAGAAACTACGAACCAGTTTTTAGACCTTATAGTGAATTGGTGATATCAAATAGTGATATTATATATTTAGTGAAAAGGTGAAGAATTTCTGGCAAAGTTTTGTTTTCGTAACTTTTAGTTTTGTTTTGTAATGATTTCGTAACATTTGCCGTAAACGTAACGGTTTGTTCTCTCTTTCGCTTTCTTGTTGTTTTGGCGCACGCGCTCTTTCTACCGATCTTGCCCTCTCTCTCTCTCTATGTCTTCGTATCGTTCTCTCTCTCGTTGCGTTTTTCCCTTCCGCGTGGCATTCAAAAATTGCTTTACACCTCATTCACTCGCGGCATTTCTTGTTGTTGTCTATTTTTACGTATTTATTTATTGCTATAAATACGCAAAAGTACAGAAAGGAAATAGCCAAAATCAAATACATAGACGCAAACTACACACGCGCACGAAGACTTATGCAAACGAGCACATGCATGCGGGTCTCGTGATTCCCAAAAAGAATTGAAAACCTTTTTTTAGGTTTTTAACATAATTAATTTTAGCTTTTATTTTGAATTAATGGTCATTGGTGTTTTGCGTTTCACAATAATCCATTTATTAATTTAAACTTTCGAAGAACGTTCCTGAATAATATTCTTGTTATTTTTTTTTTAATATTTAAGAACGCTTTACAATTAATGGAATTTTTGGGAAGAGTTTTTAAAAATATTAAAATTTTTAATTACAATTTGTCTTCGTTCAATATATATAACTATTTAGAAATCCATTTCTTTCATCTTTATTAGTTTTTTTTTTTAACAATCAGATAAAATATATTTAATTTTTAAAAAATTTTGAAAATAAAATTTAAATCTAGTCATTCAGTACTTAAGAAATGGTTCAATAAAAATACAATTTTGTATACTTTCCTTATCGTTTGTCATGTCAAGCTTTTTAAATAATTATATACGACGCTACCTGCTTCGTAAATTGTTGTCTGATAAGGATTGTTAAATATTTGCTGAGAGCACATTCAATAATAAAAAAAAAACAAATTTCCATTTGTTGAGTGGTTTATTTTTCACTCTTTGTGAGAGAACATTAGTAATTTTATTGCAAATTTAATGATTAGCAAAGTTACTCATAAAAGTATACATTGGCAATACCATAAATATTTAATTTTGGTTTATTTAAGCCTATTAATATATATATCCTATAGTATATATTTACATGTAATAGCCATCTATTGACATTATTTTAATGCTTTGAAAGCGCAAAAAAACTTCGAAAATTAAAGAACTTAAAACAAAGGTGTTTGAAAATTTCTTCAAAGGTAATCTTAGTAAGCCTTGTGTTTAGAATTACTATGAATTGTATTTAGTTGACATTTGCGGATGTAACACACAATTCGTAAAATGAACACAGAAAGTCATTGAAAAATATTAAAAAGGCTCCAACTAACTACGGTTCTCTACCATTTCAGATCCTCCAATATTCAGCGAAAATGGTATCCGGTCGTCCTCTACTCTATCTGTCACTGCCCGGTGTAGCATTTATACTCGGCGTCTTTTGGTTTCGGCGTAGAAATAAAAATCGTTTAGACAAGCCCGATGACGAGGACACATCGGTCATCGGCAAGGACTCGTCGATTGAGACCGCTGTGCAGGCGCGCAAGGCCAATGGAGTCCTGCAGAACGGCAAATTGCCGCAGCAGCAGGCCAGCAAGTCTATGAACATCAATGGAACCATAGCTAATGGAAACGGAAGTGGCAGTGGCAGTGGCAGTGGCAGTGGCAGTGGCAGTGGCATTGGCAGTAATAGCGGAAGTGGCAGTGATGAGAAGGATAGTCCCACTACCATGTTGTACGGCAAATCGGCACCTATCAAAATTCAAAGCAATGGCCGCACTTCAAATGCAAAGCATCAGCAGCAGATTGACTCCGAGATGCTCAAGTCAAAAATTCAAGATGCTGAGCACAAGAAACTTTGTTCAATTGATGAAGATTTCGAGAATCTATCATCGCCACGTGATTTACCCGATTCGGTTAACACACGCGTGTCCTTTTACAATCGTAAAGCGAGCCAAAAGACGGTGGAACCGGTGGTGATCAAGGCCACGCGTACACCCAAGATATCGCCGGAGAACTCCTTTTTGGAGACCAATTATACCACCAAGGAGTGTGAGCAGAACAATAACTGTGAGCCCAAGGAGGAGGGACAGAAGGAGGCCAAACAAGAGTCTTCCCAGGAGGCCAAAGATCAGGAGCAGCATCAGGATCAGGATCAGGATCAGGAAACAGAGCAGCAGACGGTGCTGAAGGAGGACGTGGTGGATAATAATGGTAATCAGAAGCGTAACGTGGATGCGGCCAGCCCTTCGCTGAGCATTTGCAGCGTTCAATCGGGCGATTCCGGCAAGGGATCCAGTTTGCCCCGCTCGGAGGCAACACGCGTTAAGACCAGTTATGAGTTCCTCTTTCCGATCAGCCTGATTGGTCAACTGTACGGCCGCAAGCGGGCGTTTATCAACCAAATCAAGGCCAAGACTCTGGCCAGCGTGGTCCTCAGCAAGAATCCGTACTCGGGCAAGGTGCGCATCTGCACAATTGAGGGAACGGAGAGCGAAATTGATGCCGCATTGGCCATGATCCGTCAACGTTTGCCGGCCAAGCGATATCCCAACTTTACCATGCAACGCATCCACTTTGCGCTTCCGCAGACCATAGTTCCTCTTTCGACCGAAAGCCTCTACAATCTTCAAGTGAGTGATGGTGTGACGATGACAATGGTGACGACGATGCCGCCGACACGACATGGTTAAGGCTGATTTGCCAGCTTATTTGATTTGATGATTTATACGATAGTATTCCTACCGTTGAATACGCAGAGAGTAATTGTATTTCTCTAAGTGGTGCCTACCACTGTTCCTGTCGTGTCGGCGCAATCGGAAAGTTTTGATTTCGAGTCCCCCATCCATGATATGCTTTGCATCATATATCTCTAATGCCTTGGCTACTAACTCCTCCCCCGCAGCTGAATCTGATCGAGGGCATCAACAACGATGTGGTGGTGAGTGCGGTGCTGTCCGGGTCGCATGTGTTCATCCAGCACCCGCTGCATCCCTCACATCCATCGCTGCCCATGCTGCAGAAGCAGCTGTACGATAGCTACTCCACCATGGAGTCGCCACTGCTGCCCAGCTTGGAGATCAGTGCCGTGTGCGTGATACCCATCAATGGGGTGTGGTATCGCGTGCAGATCGTGGACACGGATCCCGAGGACGAGGAGCGTTGCCTGGTCAAGTTCCTTGACTTTGGTGGCTACATGAATGTCGGCTTCAGCACACTGCGCCAGATTCGCACCGATTTCATGAGCTTGCCCTTCCAGGCCACCGAGTGCATCCTGTCCAACATTGAGCCCATCGGTAAGTGCAGCCTATAACCCATTATTTCTATTGTATAATCAATATATTCCCTTGTAACTCCCAGATGAGACCTGGTCCATCGAGGCGGCCGAAATCCTCAACCAACTTACCAAAGGCATTGTCTTGCAAGCACAAGTCGCCGGCTACAATAGTCACAATTTACCAGAAATCTATTTATTCGCTTCTCTAGGTCCCAATGTGAGTATTATCCACCGATCAGAGGGAGATGGCGTGCTTATATAGAGGGAGATAGTTGATTACAGCACGTGGCATAATGATAAAGTTGTTTCAAGTTCTATGCTCTATTAATAATTATGTTTATGAAGATTTTTGGAACATTTTAGTTTATTTTGTATGTCCCTTTTTAATTTTCCTGTCCCAAGCTCGGTGTTATTTAAAGAGCATTATCTTTACTTTCGTATAAAAATTTACATTTAATTAAAAGTTAAATGTTTCTTCCACAGTATATAATTATTTCAATAATATAACATTTATTTGCACATTTTAACAGCATTGATAACCACAAAACTTAACTTAAAACAATTTTGATTTGAAATTTATTATTATTTCAATTTCAAATCAGTTGTTTAAGATAATTTTCGAACTAGGAAAATTTTCTGACAATTTTGTAATCTCACATTCAATTTTTTAAAATTGTTTGCAAAATTGAATTAATCATTAATTAATCATTTCACAATAGTGTTTTTAGAATACCAGTTGAAAAGATCTGTTTGAGTTGACTAATGCATTTGCTAAAACAAACCCCTCTGCATTTAAAGAGGTACAACTATTTTTAAACGCCAATTTTCTAACTCTTTTGTGTTTAATTGCAGAATGTAATCTTTATCAATAAGGAACTGGTCGCCAGAAACCTTGCGAAGTGGGTGGAGATGCGTGACTAACAGCCTTAGTGAACAACTCAACTAGTAACCAAGAACTAAATGAAAACTAAAAGCAAACTTAAACAACAATCACTCAAACCCAAATCAAGCAACTTGGCAGTGCAACAAAGGAAAGCTTGAGTCATGTGCAACAGGCTCCCAAAAGAGCGGTGGCGAAATCGGATCACGGATTGCGGATGCGGCTTTTGCAAATAACATGTAGCACATAGGATATAGCAAATTGCAGATTCCACAAGAACTGCCAAACGCAGAGGCCCCCTTAACAAAAACGTTCGTTATGTTGTAGAATGCGACTGAGCCTAGAGAGAGCCCTCAATCATTACATACAAAACAAGAACGCCCACACGCAAAATACACACACGCATATATGAATAAGAGCACCTAACACCTCACTAACCCAAAAAACAACATACACATTATACAACAAGGCAAACGTTTCATAGTTGACTGCCCAGGATTGGATACCAAAATGGGGGGGAAAATCACCTAGGTTATGATTTGTGACTACATGGCACCAGCGGGCGGGCGGACATCCTACGGATCGGCTAGAACTGTCGGTGTTGAGAACGAACCGCTTAAGATATTATCATACTCAGTTTATAAGTAGGCATTACTAGCTAGTGTAAATAGTTTTTATAAATTTAACAAAATGCAAAAACAAAAATACACTAAAATAAACTTAACTAAAATATCAAGCGTTCATCAGATATAAAGAAAAAGAAAACAAACTTAAATTAGTCTTGGCAAGAATGAAGAAAAACCTGATATATTTTTTAAAATTTTCTGTTGCTATTTTGCTGAGATTTGTAAATATTTAGAATAGGCCTTTCTTTGCTATATCTGAAGGATCATTTTATATATTTACAAGCATAACATAACTTTTGTTCAATTTTTAATTCATACTGAAACTACTCAAACCGCGAAAAGTACAAGAATACTTCGTACAGCTGAAAGTATGATGGAGATGACGGAGTTAGGGAAGAAAGGAAATTGAAAGAGAGAAACAACCCCTCACCTCACACTAACACCCGCACTAAAGCCGCAGAATGCCTAACAAAAAAAGAAATATTTAAAAAAACAAAAAAAAAAAAAACAACGTTACAACTTCTAAATATCTATATATGCGTGTGTGCCATTGTTAGTCAACAAACAAACATAAAACAAAACAAACATAAAAAAAAAAAACAGAAAAACCTATTAACAGAACGAAATGGATACTTGTTCCCATTGTAAATAAAATCCATTTGGACAGACAAAGAAATGCAAAAAATCAATAAGTGTTGCTACCAAAACTAGCCTATTGAAAAAAGGAGTGAAAATCTTAAACAGCCTTTCTTTCTAAATTCCTTTGTATATGCAAGAAACACTCTCTAAAAAGGAAAAAAAACAAGGAAAATTGTTGCAAACAAAAATCGCTTACAGTTACCCGTTCTGGGTATCTAGCATAGCAGCAATTTTAGGTATATTGTTTTAAGTGCAGCACATCCACAACACAACAGAACACACCAATAACACACTAACCAACCACCAACCAACCAACCAACCATGTTAAACATATTTATTTGTTGAGAAAAAAATAGTTTTATTTCAAATGTATTTTACATTGAGAATAGATTGGCAGCAACGGAAACAATACATAAATTAATATTTAAAGAAAAATCACAATTCAGCTAAAATAGTCGTCGTCATTGTTTCTCATTGTCGTCATCGTAATAAATAAATAATTTAGTTAATATAACGTACAAGTGATGATCCACACATATATCAATTATGTCAACATGAAAGACTTGGCGTGTTATTTTTCTTCTACGGTAGTTTACTATTATTATTATCGCTATCATTATATCATTCATATTATTATTATTGCACTTTTTTTTGATACTTACTTATTTGCTAATTTAAAGTAATTCAATCTAATTGTTACCTTAAAACATTATTGACTTGATCAAAACTTTTGGAGGGACCAAGGAGGTATTTGGCGAAACGGGGAGTCCCCCATTTCGCCCCCTCCCGCTGCCTTCCACACTGTAGTGCAAATTCGTTTAATGGATATTTGTTTTAATGTCGCCTTTGGAAACTCTATTGAAAAGATAACTTTATTTTAGCCGATGGAACGCAACTTATATTATTGGTTATTTTTAAACGAAACATTATTCTTATTACTTGCTCAAAGTCAAATTTTAAAATGTATTCGCCAGAGTTGTCAACGTTCTCGGTGTTTTATCGAATTCATTGTAGATTTGTCACTTGTACAATTGTTGATAAACTGATTAACTGATAACTGATTAACTGACATAGAGATAATGCAAACACAACAGACATGATGTAGAGCACATATTGAAAGTAATCTTAGTGGATAGCGAAAGAAGAGTCCTCCCTTAAAGATCATCGTATGTGTGGTACTACTATTTTTTTTTCTTATCTAGTAATGCTGAGAGACAAGAGTTACGAATAAGATTTAATTTATAGACGCATTCAAGTGAGAATAATTTACAAATCTAGTTTTTAACTTAATATAATGCAAGTACATTAAAATAAAATATTATTGAAAAGGAATTAACTGTGTGAAGTTATTATTTTGATCGGTGTTGTTCGATATTTCTTTCAGCTTACCATTGTAAACCAGGAAATGGTATATCCTATGAAATATCGCCTTGTTTTACAGCCTTCAATGTTAAACGCGCAATCTAATTTTATTATTTGTGTACTTACCCGTCCGGTGTCAAGGGTTCTTATCCAAAAGTGGGTCTACGTTGTGATGCGATAAGGAAGTTGCAGTCATCGTCCTAGTCCGATATGGTTTGCGATCCCCCAATAATTGCGATTTCCAATTCACCTGAACTCAGTTCCCATGATTCAACACACTTGATCAAAAGGAAATCGCAATTGCCGCTGATATTGGATGGTCTGGCGCTACACGATATTGGATATAAAATGTTTGCGATATCGAACTTAGCAGGAGAACACACGGCGTCAGAGATTTGCTTTGGCTTTAACTTTCGAACCGGTCGAGTCCGGTCCCCAAATCGAAAGGATCATAAAAGTTTCATTGACCAGTCAATTGAAATTCTCCCGAATCTATATGTGCAATTACCCGTGTGATTATCGATTCCTAATTGGTTCTGTCTGCATTTCTGTTCTTTTTTTCAAGCTTTTCGTTTGGTCATTTAGGGGTGATTTCTCCTACGGCCTAATCTATATCGGAAATGGCCGATTCGGATAAGTTCGTAATGTAGTTTTTACTGTGTCTGCGTCTGCGAGTCCGTCTATCGAAAGGTATTTACTACCCCTACTGACCGTTCATTTTCGCCTGCCGGTTTTTATCTAATTCAAGTGCTTTCCCACGTAGCGCCGTACAGTGGACTCTGGCTATATTGTCGATCCAGTTTAGCTCCGGTGGTAAATGCATGTATCCACATGGGTTTATCTAACTATGTAGCTGGGTATCTGCTGTCTTATCAGCGATCTTCGAGAGTTAATCAACAAAAAAGCACCCAGAAAAAGCTCATTTAACAAACTCACGATATAATTTTATCACCACCAGCTTTTCAAATTACAAAATAGAAACCAAAAAATTCCTTGGTTATCGGTTATACGTAATATAACTGACACGTTTTAAGTTAATTAAGAAACGGAAAACCTTTTCCTTTTTATTAACTTGTATTATGGCAGCAGTTGGAATAACAGATTTTTCCGATTTCGAAATTGTTAAGGCAATCTTTTGAATACACCTAATACTAATAATGTTACAAACCTTGAAGGTGTACTTTGGTATGCAAATTAAAATTTGATTTCTACAGGACCTCGTTATTTTTCTAAAGATTATAAGAATTTTTAGCATTGGTTACTAGTTCTGTTCGAAGGAAAAGCCATCTTATGTTATCACAGTCAATGCTCAAATTTAATTTGCAAATATCATCTTTAATAAATGATTAAATTCCATATTATTCAATACAAATAAAATGTCCTACTAACTAGGTGGTTTTTAAGAAAAACGTACTTTCCTATCATCAATTTAATCTCGATAATGAAATCTTCTAAAATTTATTAATATGTTTATAAAGCGGGTTTTAACCAAAAAGAAACACGTTCTATTAAGGGAGTTGACCTGTGTAATTGTCGATTTTCGAGCTATTTTTCAGATATTTTGTGTAAGTAAACTATTCAAAGTTTTTGAAAAACTCTTTCTGTATTTTGTTATACATTTTAATTTACAACAACAAGAGTATTGGTGACGGAAGCTGGAACCTCCACAAAATTAAGGACTCAAACGCCGTGTAGGATAAACACGGATAAGTCCCAAATTTTTAAAGATGTCCAAATGACTTTCTTAGGTAAAAAGGTTAAAAGATGTGAAAACAAAATTAAAACACATTATTTTTTTAGAAATCACAAAGTCAGTCTTAAAGAAAAAGTCACTTCCTGTCATCAGTAGCCACTGTTTTTCCAAAGTTTGAAGTCATCTCATTCAGGTGATCATTTTTTCTTCAGTGTAGTCTATTTTTATTCAAACGTCCACGCATTTTAAGGTACATTCCGTGCGGATTTATTCTGTTATTCGGTGCGTACTTCCTTATCCGACAATTTAACAGCCATCCCCGCAACGACGATCGCACGGAGAGCAAACGCGAGAGCACGACACCAAAAGTTTTCCCCCGTTTTCAAGTACAGGGGCACCATTGTACAGGTACTACCACGGGGTTTTTTCCTATGTGTGTGAATAATTTCACGCTTATTACCTGCTGAGCGCTGGCAAAACGCTGCTTGACTTTGGCGGTTCTTAAAGCGGCCAGCAGTCGGAGTATTCTCAGTTCCAGCCGCGGCATTCACGGCACCACAAGCGCGCCTCCAGCTCTGACAAAAAACAACTGCACAAATAAAAATAAAAACAAAACAATACAGAAACCACTTCGAAAGTGCAATTGGAGTTACCAACCAACCATAACCAAGGGCTGGCCAACGAAATGTACTAATTAAAAAATAGCAATTAAACAGAAAAACGCAAGTAACAGTCAGTCAGTTGGCGAAACGCGAAAAAAGGCAATAATAAAAAATGGAATTGAAAGCCGTTCAGCCGACAAATGGAACAAATGGCACAGCAAATGGAACAACTACGGGATCACCGGAAGTAAGTCTGGAAAAATCAAGAAACTAATTATATCTCTAATGCAATTGCTTTCGATTGGCACTTCAAAAACTCAAGTGGTCAGAATATCAGATTGAGCAAAGTGCCAAAACAGTCAGTAAATTAAGTATACGCCCCCGGTACAAAGCAATAGGGAAACAACATTAATACGTGTATAAAACTGTTTAAAAACCTTGATCAAAATGTTTTAAGTTTCCCTGGACTTTCACCCATAATTATGCTTTCGATAAACTCTTAGTAATATCTATCCTTACCTTTTTCGTCCAGTGTGGCCTTTACAATCGCCCAATGGCTTTATGATCATTGTGATCATTAAGGCTGTTAGGCTTTAATTGCGGGCTAATCGACCGACAAACGAAAATACGATTTACGGCAAAATACTTTGTCAGGCGGATACTATATGCATATCTTATACGCTTTACGGCCACCTGAGCCACATAAATATCCAAGTACAACGTCTTTTGTTCTATTTAGAGCTCAATAATGCCCTAAAACTGTTAGTTATCTTAGCAACTAGCGCTCCGCTGTAGATCAGCAAAAAATATACTATATAATGTGCTATATGGCCGAAGAGCTAAAAAAAAACCCGTTTTCCCTGCAGCAGCCATAAACTGACATACTTATATTATGGATGAACACAAGTGACAAGTTCTCTTCGCCTCTCTCCCAGTTATATTACAATATTTCCCAGAAAATGTAATAGGTTATAAACAGATATCAACAAACCAGGTTCAGCTAAAAGAACACAGCGCCTTGTGATAGAAATAAAGATATAAACGCAAAATAGGAATTCCATGATCGTTATTATTTAAAATTAAGGCTTTATTTATATTTGATAATAAATAATAAATTGTTAAGATCGATAACTTCCAGAAAAAGTTCTCAGATAAATCTCATTTATTTTTGTTATTTTATTGACTAGATCATTTTTGAAATATACATATTTGGATAAAAATGAAACCTTAAATATAATTTCTTGAATAATTTTCCAATTAGGAATGAAAATATAAAATCTTGAGTAATTTTTCAATTACAAGTACATCTCTACTTACATACTATATATATTAGTTAAGGTGTTTCCCCCTAAGAGTCATCTTCTATTGACTGCATGCAAAGTGCATAGTTCTTGCTTTAATAGATCAAGTTGATTTAAATGGTAGGTTTTCCCCAACAGGGGAAATCCCTTATAAGGTGATTGATGGCCCAATGCTGGATTTAATTGCGGTCAGCATAACTTTAATTGATGACAAATACAATAAAGTTTTTTTTCCAAGATAAAATTTCCCAGAGTGCAGAAAAAAAACCATCAATTATGCATTGAATAAATGAAACCTCGGTTCAACAGCCTGCTGGGCATAAACATATTCTGCAAGGGGCATCCAATATTTAAACTCGGAAAGGTAATAACAAAGATTGTAACACCTTTTAGCGGCAGATAATGGGCATGTGTAAACATTTGGGCTTCGGCTATTTCATAGATACCCCATTTGTAGACACGTCTTGATGATGCAGTTTCGTTTTCATTTACCTTCGTAATTGCCCTGACTTCCACCCCCATCGACCATAACCACCCCCCCCAGCTGAGTTTTTGTTTTATTTAAACAGCTTTTTTTTTTTTTCGAATAGTACAAATATGTAAGCGGCAAAACAGTTTTCGCGTTCCCAGCTCTCTGATTAAATAAATAAAAAAAACAATGGCCAAGTTCTCCAACTGTTGGTGGCGTGCAAATAGATTTGCTGAAAATAGATTTCACCAAATGGCAATCATATGATTACATATAATTATTATAATTTAATAAATGTTGTAAGTGATAAGAAAGCTCAAAAGAATACATTTGTTTTTTAGCTTTAAATGATACATTTATCATACAGATGTCATGAGTATAGAAGTTTGTTGTTTCGTAACCAACGTTTCGTTTAGCTCGTTAAAGTTTCTGTTAAGACTCATAAAATAAGTCTAATATTATATAAGTGAGGCATTTCCATTTCGCAAGCCTAGTTTTCCTATGACAGTTAGTTTTTTTCTGAATTTACCTAAGGGTAAGCACTTAAAGTACGCCTTGTCACAATCTGTTTTGCATTTGCATATTTAAATGTTATAATTGGCAGTGAGTCAGTAATTAAATTTTAATTTTACAATTAACGTGTTACCGTTTTCAGACTTTTATTAAAAAGCTATGTATACAAATTGTTTAGCTTAGTGATTTCAAGATAACCCCTTAACTGAATGTACATCATTATGAATGGAAAGTCTATTAGGAATTCTGTTTGGGTCGTTGCGCATTAGTCAAATCTCGTTTTCCCTTAATTGAGTGGGCGTAGTTGCACACACTTAATTTGTAATTGTTATTAATGGAATTAAACTGAAATAATCATTGTACAAAAGGCTGTTTGACAATACTCAATGATTTTAGAGTCGGCTTGGCAGGGATTATAATGATCTAATCCCCTATTTATTTTACTACTAAAATGATTCACGGATATAAATGTTCATTCATGAAGAAAATACAAATGATCTCAAGCATACTTAATAAAATCTATTATTTTTTTCTAGAAATTAGTGTTCAGCAATAATACTTGATCGACAGCTAGGGCGCCTTCCTAGAGTGACTACAACAAAGTGATTCTAATCTAATCATAATTAGGCGCACTAAGATAAATATTGCATAATGAGCATATACACATATGCACTATCAGGTGAAGTCTGGTGCCGCATTTCTTTAATATGTCCATGGGTTATCTGGCATTGGATCTGGAAATGCCGCACGCATGTCGCGATCGTGTTTGTCCCAGAGTCCAAACTTGCGGGTTGATGGGTGCTCAAATATTTAGTCATGTGTCTGGTATTTTTGTGAGAGATATTAAGTCTTATATTCCCCGAATTGTGATATCACTTGCCACATATTTGCTTAACAAATTGGCAATTCTTTTCATTTTCAGAAGACAGATGCCGAAAAGCAGACAGCGGAACGTACAAATTGGGGCAATGGCTTAGAGTTCCTCATGTCCTGTATATCGGTTTCGGTGGGATTGGGCAATGTCTGGAGGTTCCCATTTACGGCCTATGAAAACGGAGGAGGTGCCTTCCTGATACCCTACATCATTGTGCTCTTTTTGATTGGTAAGAAGAGGAAACATTATTATAACTTACCCTTTTAAAACACTAATCTCACGTATGAGTATAGCCATATAGTAAATATAGATAGATATATACATATAATTCAACATTTTTTGATTATTATTAATAAAATATGTTGGATTCCAGAGAATAGATAGTAAATTGAGTCAAATATTTGCACATTTTAAGTATTTAGATTGTGATACACTGGTTATATGAAATATTTTGTATATGATATGATATTGATTTTATAATATTTTTACATTATATCTTATTTTAAATGACTAATATAAACTTTTACCCAACTTCAAGGTAAGCCAATGTACTATCTTGAGATGATCATTGGGCAGTTCACGAGTCAGGGAACGGTGAAGATCTGGTCGGTGGTACCGGGTTTCGTGGGTGTGGGCTATGGCCAGGCTTTTGGGACCATCTGTATTATCTCGTACTACTCCTCACTTCTGGCCTTAACCCTCTACTACCTCTTCGTGTCCTTCCAATCGGAGTTACCGTGGTCCTATTGCCGTGATGAGTGGACCAACTGCGTGAACTCGAGACCGCAGGACTCCACGGAAAACTTGTTCACCGGCATGTCCTTGGCAAATGAATCAGCCAGAAATTTCAGTCCCCTGGCCACCAACGAAACTAAACTCCAAAGCAGCTCCGAACTCTATTTCCTGTAAGTATACAAACTATCAAAGTCAGAACTCAGATGGGGGTAGTCCAAATTTTTACAACCACTTTTTATGACTTCATTGAGTGATTCATTGTTGTATAGAAGCAAACATGTTGTTAACAACACATTAAAATGTTTGAATTTCCTGATGTGCTGTAACTTGTGTTAAGTAAGCTTTTTCCATTATCACATTTGCTCACTTATCTGAAAAACAGATTTAAATCACTAGTGCAAAAAAATAATAAGTTATTCAGCGCTGCCATTATTTGTTTGGCATTGTTTTGCTGTTTATGTGCTAAATGCAATCAGTGAATAATTTAAACGAGAATTCCGCTAAAAAAAATATGCCGCTAAAATATATGGCTTATCTGAGCACTTAAAATATTTTTCTATTTAAAAAGAATACAAATTTGTTTTTCTATATGGCTTATATGATATTAATGTTTTTCGATGTGCTATTGAAATAAAATGATGCCCATTTTATATATTTAATTATAAAAAAAATTGTATTTTCGGTTTCTACAAGGCATTAAACTTGCAGAATTTGCAGTTGATAAATAAATAAACATAACCTGCTATGTGAACTGTTTGATAAGATAAATATTTTTTCTGGAAAAATAAATAAAGTCGAAATTCTTTGAACTTGTAAACAATATCTTTTTTTGTTATCTCTATGGTCTATTTGCCAATTAAAAATAATTTCTTTATGGAGTGCAAATTTTTAAATTGTGTACAAGATCATTAATATTTATTACAATAATTATTTTAAATGAATTAACCTCTATAGGAATGTAGTGATCAAGGAGAAGCTGGACATCTCGGACGGCGTTGGTGACCCCGATTGGAAGCTTACGATCGCCCTGTTCGTTTCCTGGGTGGTGATCTTCCTGGTGATCATGCGCGGTGTGAAGAGTTCCGGCAAGGCGGCCTACTTCCTGGCCCTGTTCCCCTACGTGGTCCTCTTCGTCCTGCTGATCCGGGCGGTGACCCTGGAGGGAGCCCGCGATGGCATTCTCTTCTTCCTGGAGCCCCAGTGGGGTGAACTCCTGAACCCCACCGTTTGGAAGGAGGCGGTAGTGCAGTGCTTCTTCTCGCTGGCCGTCGGCTCTGGACCCATCATTATGTTCGCCTCGTACAATCGATTCGATCATGGGATCTATAGGGATGCCATGATCGTGACCACACTAGACACGTTGACCAGTCTGCTGGGCGGCATCACGATATTTGCCATTCTGGGCAATCTGGCGCATAATCTGCAGATCGAAAATATTCGCGATGTGGTGCGAAGTGGCACGGGATTGGCCTTCATCTCGTATCCGGATGCCATATCAAAGTTCCAGGCGGTACCGCAGCTTTTCTCGGTACTGTTCTTCTTCATGCTCTTCGTCCTGGGAATTGGATCCATTGTGGCCCTGCAGAGCACCATTGTGACCATCATATGCGATCAGTTTAAGGGATGGAAGTACTGGAAGGTGGCGCTGACCACCTCCGTCTGTGGATTCCTCATGGGGTTGGTCTACGTAACGCCGGTAAGTTGGATAAAAAGCGAAAAGTTTATATATAACACCCTAGAATCAAATAGATCTAAAGTTCTTCAATTATTTATAAACCTATTTCTAATGTTGAAATACGAACTTTTGTTAATTTCTGGAGTTTACTAGTTTCAATAGTTTTTTTTTTCAAAATTTGTTTCTTAAAATGCCAAACTTGAAGAATTGATAATATTTTTAATACAGAAAGCTTAAGAAAATTGGACTATAAATCATCTTAGCACCTGAAGCCCTTTAACATTATATTTCCTATCTTTATAAATATTTAAACCTTTTTCAGGGAGGTCAGTGGATCTTAACTCTGGTGGATTTCTATGGCGGAACCTATGTGGTCTTTATTTTGGCCATTTTCGAGTTGGCTGGCATTGTGTGGATTTATGGTGGGTGTTTCCATAACACTTTAATAACTTAAGACTTTTCTAATCCAAACTCGTTCCTACAGGTCTGCAGAATTTCTGCGATGACATCGAGTTTATGTGCAATCGCCGGGTTTCACTGTACTGGCGTATGTGTTGGTCCTTCTTCACACCGGTCATGATGATTATTATATTTATATACTCGATGGCCACCATCGAACCAATTAAATACAGCGAACTGTACTTCCCTGAAGCCGCGAACGGTTAGTTGATTTTTAAAGTACCTAAATTTGAATTCGTAGTTAATTGTCATATTTTTTTTTTGGAAACTTTCAGTTGCTGGCTGGTTGCTCTTTGCAATTGGAGCTGCCCAGTTTCCTATGTGGGGCATCTGGTATATCTCTCGTCATCCGCAAGGCACCATTTGGAATGTAAGTTTGTGAAAATAATTTATTGGCCTTGACAAGCCAAGCTGTGGCAAATGTTTATTTAATTGCCATTTTAAGACACTGCTATTTCTTGTTGTAGAGAAACTATATATTTCCTTTTCATTTACAGTCCTTCAAGGCCTCTCTGAAGCCCAGCGATCGATATGGTCCTGCAAATCCAGATATTAGGCGTGAGTGGGTCATCTTCAAGAACCAGAAGGCCGCCCAAAGAGCTTCCCAAAAAGAAACGTCCAAGCTGGGATTCTTCTGGCGGAAAGTGACAAATTTCTGCGGCAGCAACAAGTAAAAGTCTATGTAGAGTGGGGAGCAGATGTGGGGATATCGTGGGGATATCAGAGATTACGATTAACCATAACCACTTGTTATTTATATACGCCATTGTCAGCCTCTATGAAGCCATCACAAATGCGAAGCAAAACTTCGACCGAATATACCGCATCTATCAATAAATAGAGAACTTTTTTTTTGTTATTCTACGTATAAATTTCATTTCTATATGTGATAATATTGAGCAGAAATAAAATCATTATTGTTATCGAAGTGTTTGTTTATTTTGGCCGTTTTCGTTTTTTTTTTAATTTGAAAAGGTTCCAAATTTTTTGCTGTGAATTCCATTTGGTTAAACATTTTATGACGAATTTAACGATTTGTGACATTCCAACTTATGACAATCGAGTGGCAAGCAAACCTTGGAGAAATGCCAAAATTATCAAAAAAATTTATGTCGCTAAGAGAAGTGACAATTTTAATGAAGCTTGTAATGAAAAGTAATTTTATGATTTGGAATTCTTTCATAAGATACTTCCGAGCTACCGAATAAATTAAAAAACCTTTTGGATGTAATTTTATTTTATTTTTATTCAGTTTTTGTTGGTTTTTCTTTCATACAAAGCCCTTTATTATTGTTAAAATTTCAATTATTCTCTTTTGTTTTTTTTTTTATTTATTAATAATTTACAGTTTTATGAGTTTTCTCTTTCCCCTCAACTTTCATCGGTCTCTCTCTTGTTTTAGTTGTTCTTGTTACTTATCGGCTCCTCGGGGTTGTACATTATAACAGTACAGCAATTGATTTTATGTAATATGGTAAATTTGCTATAAATAGTGGGAATTCTTATAAGGTAAATGCTTAATGAGCAAAAAAAAAACAATTACAATCGTCATCAGATCAGATCAGTTTATACTACATACATAATACATATAATATATATATGTATACAAAATAACAAATCGTAAGTCTAATAAACATTCTTAAAATTCATATCTCAAATACAAATACAATATTTGCTTTAGCTGTTAGTTGTTGTTAATTTGTTTTGGTATCGGTATCGGTTTTGGTTTCGGTTTTTTGTTCAGTGTATTCGTTTTGGAAAACGAGGCTTCTTACTTCTTGGGTTCGTTTTTTGATCAAGCTTTTAACTATTTCGTGTATGTAGGTGTTGGTTTTAGTATTTGTTTACTTTTTTTTTTTGGTTTTTTAAATCGTAAAATACTAATTTAGCAAATGTAGGCACCCTAAATATTAAAGCTTTTGCAAAACACGGTTCCTCGATAAGATATAACAATATATTTTGTTGGGGATTCCCCTTTTTTAATTTAAATATACAATACAGTAAATTCAAAATAAACTATTTCATTAGCCACTGAATTTTTTCTGTTTTGTTTCTTTTAGTTTCTTACTTTATTTCTTTTAGAAATTAAATCTTTTTTCCATTTTAGTTGTTTTAATTTAAATTTACTTCAATTTTAGCGTTAGCATAGGTTTAGTTAAAGTTTAGTTTTAGTTGACGTTCGTTTAGCTTTAGTTTAGTTTTGGGTTTCTATTAGTTTTTCTTCTCTTTGTTTAATTCATGCAATGCATTCTAGTTTACTTACTTTGGTTTTTTTTTTTCAATAAAAAATTGTTTCGCCTTCCTCTTAAGTTTTTATTGTTTAGTTTAACATAATAATTGTTTTCCATTTGGGTTTTCCTTATTAGTTTGTTGTTAATAAATTGGTCTTTGCTTCGGCTTTCGTTTTAGCTACTGAATACATTACTATAATACATATAAAGTCAAATATGATCTTATTACTGTGGGGTAAGGATTTTTTTTGGTTTTTGGGTTTTGGTTTTTGGGTTTTTGGTTTTTGGGTTTGGTATATAGACCTCATAGACCGTCTGTACATGTATGTATATACGAGTATGTGTGTGTTGTATATCTAGATATTGTATATGTAACCTTATATATTTTGCATACCTCGATCTAGTTGGGCGCGGGGGCAGGGGAGGGGTTGATGGGGGACATTGTTGGGAGGACCCTTTCTAGTTCCTATCCTGTAAATTCACCAAAATGGATGCTTCGTCATGTTCCGGTTCGATACGATAACGAAAACTCGAATCCAGTTTTTTTTTGTTTTCTTGTAGCATTGGCATTGGCTGGGCTATATGTATGTTCTTTTGGACCTGGTTTGGCTAGAAGAGTTTCTGTTGAAGCGTGGATCTCGATGTACCCCTTGAGCTCTACGATTTGCTGAAGAAAAGAAAGTATATATTTTTCGATTCTGGTTTATGGAAAAAGCAATAGAAATAAACAATGTACACAAATGCTGAACGTGGGACTCGGACCTACGATGCTACGAAAGTCAACCAAGGACACTGTGCAATACGATCCTTTCATGTGTTTTATTTTATCTCAGCTCAAAGGCGGCTAAAAATCTTCAATATTATAAATTGTTACTGCTTCCGGGTTTAGTTTTTGTAGAAATCCATCTTTTTGGTTTGCTTTTTTGCTTCGTTATTTTGGTTTTGAGTTTTCTTCGGTATTTTGTATAGTAAAGACCTGTCTTTTGAAATTCGGTCCCTCATATCAAAGTTGTTTGTTTTTATCTCGTGTTTAAAAGTATTTTGTGGGGCATAGGAAACCAGTTCAAACGGGAATTTGATCTTGTACCAATTATTCATTTCATTTCATTTCAATTCGATTTAATTTGATTTGATTCATTTATCGTTAATCGTATATTGATCTTCGTTTAGTATTTTTTTGGGTATTATTTTTATATTGTTGTAGAGTTGAAACCCAAATATGCATGAATACATAACGTTAAAGCTGGGCGCATTCCATATCTCATATCTGTATCTGTGTGTTTTCGTGTGTGTTCGGGTGCCTGTTTCGATCCGAAAACCGATTTTTATCGATCTTTAGTGATCTGTTTAATTTTGTTCTGATCTGTTCTGCTCTGTTCTGTTCTGTTCTGTTTGGTATGTTGTTGTCTGGTGTAGATTTTAGTTATTTTTTGTGATAAAGCTATTTTGACAGCAGTCTTGAACGTTCTTTTCAATTTAAATATTCAATATTATAAATAGGTATACACACATTTGTTTAAGGGTTCATTTAGTTTGGTTGGTTTGTTGTTTGTTTTCCTTTGACTCGATGGCTTGTCTGGGGTTTTTTGTTGTATATAAGTTAAGACCTATCAGACAGTTGGGAAACTTTTTGGTTAACAACTTTTTTTTTACCATAAAATCAAATCAAAGCCAGGTGTCTTGGAGATGTTGTAAAACAATCAATAATGCAAAATTTCGATACTTTTTGTTGGCTTAGGTGGACTGCATCCTATGGCTATATAATCTATAGTTTACAGATATTTTGATCCTTTCTGGCCCTGGTTCTGTATAATATGCAGAGTCTGTCTTACTGACTGGGAAATTGGGTAGGAATGGGAAATTTTGGGGGCACTATTCGGGGAATTCAGTTGTATATCTCTTTTGCCTTCCATTGGGATCCTAACAAAGCGTTAGAAGGTTGCATATTACCTAATTGTTTGTTTTTTTGCATTTATTTTCTTTTTAAATAACTTCGATGCTCTCAGTTAATACTTTATATTAAGTATATAGAGTATATATAATGTTCCTTTTAGAATCTTTAGAAAATCTTTACGTAGCTCGGCCACTTCTGCTATTATTTCTACACTATTTTGCTCTACTCTTTTCAATTTCAATTCAATTCAATTCAATTCGCTTCTGTTCGTTTCGGTACTATTATTTTCTATCTGGAGCTTGTAGTTTGTTCCGTTGTTACATTTTTACCACCTAGTTTGTATATTTATGCGAATTACTTTTAATATGTTACAAAATTTCAATTAAAATTGTTCACTTTAGTATGTAGACTTTACTAATACGTTAGTTTTGCATTTTGTTTCCATTTGTTTCTCTTGTTTAGTCTACGCTACTATATCATCATCTTCAATCCCCTTCGAAAGCTATTCAGGTTCTTAATTGAGTTCATATTTCTTGGTAGAAAAGAATAGGCGAAAAACAACAACAACGAAAATATATATGTATATATACTATATATATTTTTAAATATATGTGTAGAAAAAGAAGACAACAACAAACTTGTTTCCTTTAAACTTGTTTCGTTAGTTTAGTTAAAGCCAGAGCTAGTAGATGTTAAGTAAGATCTCTCATTTTGTGTGTTAGTTTTTCATTACCCACTTTTTCTTTGGGGTTTTCCATAGTTTTTGTTTTGTTTTTTCTTGGTATTTGGTTTTCTGATTTCGCTGTTTTCTAAATCTCGTAACATACATTTTACAGTTAGATAGTTTTTCTTTGTTCTTGGTTGGGAATTTTTCTTTTTTATTATGCTCGTTTTGTATATAATTGTTGGATTTTATTTTATGAGTTACTCGTGTGCTTTTACTATCCTTGTACACACACACACAGTCAGGTCAGACACACATCCTTGGGATACAGACACATACACTTTCGACAGACGGACACTAGAATTTGCCATGTTCGTGGATGTATTGCAGTTGGTTGGTTGCTTGCACCGGAAACGGAAGTGCTAAGGGGAATCTTTGAAAGGAGGGGTTTGCAGTTATCTATGGTTATATCTGGCTTGCAGTATTATAGAAATGGATATACCGATTTATGTGGTTGTCGTACTGATGGGGACAAGATTTTCCGGGTTAACTATTACTATTTCTGCTTTCTGAGCGTTTTTCGTTTTTTATTTCTTTCGATTCTACATGATGGTGTCCTACGATCTATTTCCTAGGGCCTTACTTTCTAAACATTCTCGCCCTGTACACTCCCATTCACACACTCGCACTCTTTATGCTATTCTATGTTATGTAATTTAGTATGCAAGTACAGGCTGCCTTGGCCCAAGGTGAAGTATTACAAATACGTTTAGCCTAAAACTTAGAAAAAAAAATTACACAATTGTATACATATATTCTGTTTGGTTTTCTGTTATTGTTTTTAAGGTTTTTTTTTTAGGGTTTTATGGGGTAGGTCTATATATCCATACAGATACAGATATATAGAGTGTGTGTGTATTATGTATATGCTAACATTTGACTTTTTTTCTCATCTCGAAGAGGCTTATTTACAAAAGGCCGAGTTCGAAATTCGACTTGTAGAATTACTAATATTACTAGTACCTCTATTATTACTATCACTATGACTAGTACTATTAACTACTATTATTGCATACACGTTCTCTTTTCCTAGTAAACTTATTCGAGGCAGTCGCCTTGCCACTCTCCGTCACAATCGG